TCGTCATTAACTTGTGTACACAGTTTTTAGTCCTTAGTGTTTGAAATATTTGTATGTCGGCCAAATGTCGTCTGATGGGAGCTTCCACAACCTGGACTTATATGTATATATGGGTGGTTGTCAAAATTATGGTCCCTTTTTGGGTACCCTAAATATTAGGTGCCGTACTCTATTAGGGATCCAAAAAGGGACCATAATTTTGACAACCACCCATGTATATTTTTATATATATAGAGCAATCTGCGCCAGTTCTAAACCTCCCAGGCACTGGAGATATTCAACTCCAAGCGCATGCGTTACCGGGAAGTCGGGCAGCATGCGCTCCCCACGTGCTTCGGGGAGCGCCGACAGGACGACCCGTGCCTCAGTCGCTCTTTTGGCTGATCTATGGGTGTGCGGGTATGTGTGTGCGCGCGTGGTGCATGTGCTCCATGATGTTATTACTTCCTCACATCACTCGGCGTGAGATGCTGGCGTGCATCGTTGTACATGGACATCGACGACACCGAGCGAATCTTTGCCGAGGGGCATGCAACAGAGAAAAAGAAAGCTGCTGCGTGGCTGCAGTTTTATGGATGCGAGACGATACCCGGTCGTTTGTGGTAGGCTTCATGATTGAACTGAGCTGAGGCACTCAAAGCAGCAAAGCACATGCTTTGGAAAGTTGTGCTTGCCCTAGATGTGGATCTGATGCATGCTTGCATGGCTGTCTGGCTGGCTGGCTGGCTGTCCGTCTGTCTATCTGCCTTAATCTCTGCAGGTATGTCGGCATCTAGGCATGTATTTCGGTATGCAGGTATGTAGGGTATGTGGGTATGTTGGCATGTAGGCATGTAGGTGATTTACGTATTTAGGTAGTTAGGTAATTATTTAGACTCGACGGTATTTAGGTATGTAAATTTGTATGTAGTTATGTATGTATGTATGTATGTATGTATGTACTTCGGTTCCCCTACGCTATCACATCAATGACAAGAAGCTTGGCATTGTAGCTCCTGCTTGCTTGTGAAGCCACTCTGCAAATCTTCTCAATAAGTCGAGGATTTCTTGCCTGCGTGTGTATGGGTGGGTGCGATCCTTCTGGATCGTGCTGCCTAACAAAGACCGTCCAGGCTTGCTGTGATATGACGAATGGACGCCTTCTTCACGTACCTGCTGTATACAAACATGGCAACCAGGCGAAGCCATAAACCTGGCAAGTCGATGCAGTAGGTAGTGAGCATAAGAAGGTGTCTAGCAAGGTACAATGATTCAAAGCTCGGATTGGGGACCTGCACATGTGTGTGGGTGTGCGCGTATGCGTGTGCAGGCGTGTAGGCGTGTATAAGGTGTGTAAGGCGTGTAGGCGTGTAGGCGTGCGGGCGTGCCAGCATGCGGGCGTCGGGCGTGCGGGCGCGCGCGTGTGAGTGCGTGTGTGCGTGCGTGTGTGTGTGTGTGTGTGAGTGTGTGTGTGTGTGTGTGTGTCAGTGTCAGTGGTGCGCGCGCGAGTGTGTGTGTGTGTGTGTGTGTGTGTGTCTGTGCGTGTGTGCGTGCGTGTGTGTTTGTGTTCGTGTTTGTCTTTGTTCATGTGTGCGTGCTGATGTGAGTCTGCACGAACTTAAGATTTGCGTGATGTTTCACCGGTGCTCTGTTGAAAGTGGACCACCTAGTGATCAGTTTTGCTGCTCAGTGCGAGCGCTTCAATGTGGACGACTCGTGCGGTCTGGCTGAGCTCCTCGCATGGATCTGTTTCCTTCCCTTCACTTATTCAGGCTATGCAAGGTCCAGCAAAACCCTTCCCTGACGAGATCACACCCGTGCCCAGGACACCGCCCAACCAGCCTCAGCGAGCACGACGTGTTGCCTGACAGAGAGCTGGAGTGAGATGCAGGGTGTGTAGGTTGTGTCCATCCATGCCCAGCTGTCCGCTAGTGCTTAAGAGGGCCAAGTGTCTCCGCAGGCGCCAAATTGGTCAAACGCGTATCTGTCAGCACGATTGATGGGTTGCAACTTTGGTCCGGGAACGAGCCAGGCTGCTGCCCAAGTGGCAGACCTCATTAAAGGAGTCATCGTGGCCAAGTTTGGCGGCAAAGGCATGAAGTCTCCCACTGCGATGTTGGAGGCTGGCATGCAGGTGATGCCGGGTGCATGACACGTTGGTGACACTTTGGAAGGATATCTCGAAGGATCTTGGCATGGATCCTATCAGCACACCGCGAGTGTACCACTCGGACGCCAACTCAAAGCGACTCAGCAGACCATTCTTTCTGTTGCTTCTACTTCTTCTTGCTTGCCTGGTGTCATAAGCTTTCCACCGACACCGCACTTGTCTTCCGAGGCCTACAACGGTTAGAACGGCCATTTGCTGCACCGATGCGTTTCTTCCAGATGGCAGCCTTGTTTCGATCTTCGGTGCCGGAAGCGGCGAGTGCAGGGACGTTGTCGCAACTTGATGGCAGGGTATGGCAGGGTCAAATCAGTCCGCGCCATATACTGTATAGCGCTAGGTGCAAACATACTGCACAGTTCTCCTGCACGGAGCGAAGGAGTGGCAGGCTTCGGCAGCTGTGATTCATCGCATCGCACATTGCCAAGATCCGACTACGAAACACACCCGGTTGCCTCCATCAGCTTTCAAGCAAGAGAAGTCCACAGTGCACTCTTTTATGTGTGACTGCGCAGAGTTCAGCGTCACGGCGTCGCCCAGTTCGAGCTTTACGACGTCAATGTGAAGTCGGCGGAGAAGCTGTTAGACTGGCCACTGGTGCTTTACGAGTTCTTAAGCATCGTGCCTTGCACTGTTTGTCGTGTCTCAGCTCGTGCAGGATGACATGTGAATCGACAGGATCCCTAACAAAGGAGGTATGGCTTTGGGCTGCAACTGTGCAAGGCTGAACAACTGCGGAGCAGCCAAGCCAGCATACGCAGCTTGGCATGGATAAGGCGATTCCGGTGAGGATTCCCATTTATCGTTTGGAAGTGTGCAGCACAACTTCGCCTCAAATGGTGGTCACAGCAGCAGTCTCGGGCCGGGTGTTCAGATCGAGGACGCCGGGTTCTGCAGCCAGAGCTGTAGATGGGTAAACTGTTGCGGGCTGTGGTGTGGGCGACGTGGAACATGCCAGCGTTTGACCCGAGTTTTGGCGAATCGCAGATCTCTTGTTAAGTGAAGCCAGGCCTCTGCCATTGCCAGAACCAGGGACTGCGAGGACGTTAGGTATTTCGGCACACCCCGCCTGCAGGATGCTAAAGGTAGAGATGTCACACATCAAGACCTAGATGTCAAAGTTTACCAGGCAGGTTTCCAAGCATCTATCTATTCTTCACTAGCATTGGTTGTGTTATTTTCCCTCTGCCGTATTCGTATGGTGAGGTGCCACCAGTTCCCATCAGCTTGGAGGGCGCATGTCCAACAGCGAAGCTACCAAGAATGCTCTGCAAGGCCATGTCCGGGTGGGCCTCGTGCTTGCTTGCACATGTACGAAGATGGTAGATAAGACGGTCACCCAGCCAAGGGAAGGCCATCGCTGGGAGCAATGCTGGCTGCAACCAAGGATGTGGCAGCCTTAGGGGGCAGGCGCCTGACTTCGGCAAGGCAGAGAAAAACGCATGCTCCATGTCCATACCCAGCTGAGGATGAAGAAGAACAGCCACCTCAGGATGCACCGGTGCCTGGCTCGAGTTGCCAGCCCTCCCATTCAGACAGCCCCATCTAGTCCCGTGTAGGCAGAGATCGGAGTACCAGTGTGCATGCCTCGTGGTGGCTCAGGTGACAGTCGTCAAATACACTCCCGAAGCGGAGTATGAATATGTCGACTATGTGTCTGTGTGAATATGCGCATGTCTGCCTGTAACAGGCAACAATGAACGCATTTGCAGTTCGGCCGATTTAACATGCGAGTGGCCTTCAGCAAGTTTCCTTCACTGATGCATGATGCCCTAGCTCTGCATCCTGCAAGCCTGGCCTGTGGTCAGAATTTAGTAGACCGATTTCCAACCGCTGCTGTCCACGGCAACGTCGACTTGCGAATCTGTGACGTTAAGTGGAGAGCAACTCCGGACCTGACAGATTTTTGTGACAGTACAGGTCAACATAAACGCCAGAACAAGTCAAAGCAAAAAGCGCGGCACTTGTTGCGCTGTGCATCCATGGATACAGAACATCGGGCAGGGCCGTTGAGGAGCGGGTGTCGCAGCAAACTTTCTCTTGGGCAGGTGAGTCAGGGCACATCGCTTCCCGAGTAATTACTGCAGCAGCAAGCCAAGGTCTCGATTGGGACGCTTTTTTGCAGACACCGGCCCTGTGTTTGCCATGCTGGACCTCGAGGCTTTTTGCAGTTCTGTGATCCGGATGAAAGTAGCAGGCTCGAAGCTTCTTGAATTGCATTTCCAATCACGTCTGTATTCAAGGTTAGACTGTGGTGATGTGCTTCCATGTCCATGTTCATCGAGAGGTAACCCGGATCTGCTGAGCTTCGACAAAATACTACGACAATCGATTGGGTTGCGCATGTCTGCAGTGCCTCCCGAGAGAACATGTTTTCGACCCTGCCTACAGTGCCTTCTGAGCGAATAAAGATGTTTTCGACCGACCCCACGCCTCGACTCCCCTGTTCAGACAGTGGTCGCTTGCTCGATGTAGGCAGAGTTGCGGAGCAGAGCCATCCCTTCTGCGACTTGAAGTGAGCTGTTTCGGCAGGCCTGCGCATGCACACAGCCACAGCGAGACTGTTCCGTCCGAGGCCTATTCAGGGCCGGAAGTCTCAGGATCGGAACGTGTCCCGGACACCGGTGCGGCTTTGATGAGCTTTGCTTTTTTGTTTTCATCACCTTCGCCACGTTTCGCTCCTGCGCACTCTTTGGAGGGCGCGGTCGCAAAGCAAGCCCGTGCAGTAGATTTCAGCCCTCCCAGAAAAGCGATAACTTCCACGCAACATTGATACTAGTATGAGACTCGCAAGACACAGTCGGAGTGTCAGGAAGGTTCGGAAAATTTTCCGCTGCACGCCCTGCGTACCACCATGGTGTCGTCCTTCGTTCCGACGCCCAGCTGGGCGGAGGTCGTTAGCACCGGGCAAGAGCTGAAAGTCGGCCCTGCTTTCGCCAAGGGCACATTTAGCACAGTGCACCCGGTGGACGGCAAGGTGAATGACGAGGAGGTAGTGGTGAAGCTGACGCGAGTCCACAGGTTGCATTACCACGTCAACGACGTGCTCCTCCTGGACGAAGTGGACGATGAGAAGCGATTGCGTGGCCGCGAGGCAACACTGCAAAAGGAAGCGAAGGTCCTCCGCTGGCTAAGCGACTGCCCGGTTGTGGTTCCTTGGCTCGGTGACATCCGGGCATGCGTCGGTGGGGTGACAGTAACTGGCATTCTCTTGCCAAAGATGAAAAGAACTTTGCGACAGCTTTGGGACCGCAGCAGCGTTCAGCTGAACGTCAATCAGAATCGTCGCAACAGCATCCGATTGGCAGGCATCCTAGGGTCCGTGGTTGACATTCTCTGGGCATTGGGCAGGATGCGCGAGTGTGGGCTCTGTCACATGGATATCACACCGGACAACTTGCTGTGGAGTGAAGATCACTGCCAGTTGTACCTGGCGGACCTCGGCTCAGCTGCACGACGGCCAGGATTCACATGGCGGGCATTGCAAGATCTGCCCGAAACTGCCAACATCCGTCGCAGCTATGCTTTGGCCTTCAGAGGGGTGTGGCGGGTGCTGCCGCAGCTGTATGGTCAATTCCATAGCTGCTCCTTTGTTCGCTTTCAGCTCCACGATGAGACCCCCAGCGACATGAAAGTCAAGCTGCCCCTTGCCGACCCCCGCCTCGACTACTTCGCGCTCGTGATCATTTTGCGCAACCTGCTTGGAAAGAAAGGTTTTGTCGCCGGTGGTCGCGATGATGGCTATCCAGAAGGCGAAGCCAGGACGATTCCGCACTCCTTCGATCCACCGGAAGCCGAGAAGCCATGGGGCCAGGCAGATCCGACGTGGCCATCACTTCTGGAGGCGGCTGTCCAGCTGCGTGCCTTGAACCATGGGCTGGAGGCGCTTCCACCGCAGCCGGAGCACGAGCTCAAGCAGAAGGGAGATTCCTTTTTGGACGATGCCTTGAGGACTTGCCTCCAAGATTTAGCAGAGAGCCGCCAGAGGCTCATGAGGCTTCAGGAGGTAGACATCCAGCAGGGGAGGCTTGGCCCCGGACCCAGCGGACCTCTCGTCTTCTGGCAGAGAGATTCCTCCGGCACGCCCGTCAACATCATGTCCTTCGACCTTTCGAAGCTGGGAGAGAAGCCGCAGCTCTTGGTTCACGAGGCAAAGAAGGAGCTCGCCGCCAGCTTGGGCTGTCTTCCTCCCCAAATCAAGCTGTGGGCTTTGCTGCGGCCCCGCTACGAGAATTTCGAGGAGGAGGAGGAGGTCTTCCCAGGTTTGTGCCCGGAGCAGCTGGATTCGCCCCTCCTGCGCTTGGAGGTGATGCCAGTCGAGCAACTCCAGAAGGGGATCGGGTTCGAGTTCTCTGAGCATTTGATGAAGACCAGCTACGAGGAGGTCTGGTACCTGCTGAACAGCCGCCACCTGCACCCCGACTGCATCTCTTTGCGGGACCTCATCGACGCAGGGCCAGGGCCATGCCGCGCGGCCCTGGAGAACAAGGCGGATCCCAACCAGATCAGCGACCGGAGACACACAGACCCCATGAGGGCGGGATACTATGGAGATGGCAGAGGCACTACACCCCTGACTTACGCAACCGAGAAAATGCCCCATTCGTGGGACAGCTGGGGCGGGTTTCGCCAAAAGAGTGCCAAGGTGCGGTGGGGAGAGTGGGGGAGGTACAAAATGGCGCCGTGTAAGTATTCGCACAGCATCATACCGCTAGCAGAAGGCAAGAAGCTACTGGTTTAATCCAATCTGAGGATATCTGTGCGCACAATGTGGGCTTTTGCACTGTAGGCCTGTAGGCATGGCCCAAGCAGGTAGCGCGACATCCTTCGTCCATAAATTACAGCACAGCCCCCTGCTCACTTTTTATCTGTAGGATGCTTGTTTATCACTTAACGAGAAGGCTATGGAGATCATGCAGATGCTCTTGGACGCTGGAGCGCGGGTCAACAAGGTCGATGGCAACGGCAACACCCCCCTGTCGCTGGTGCAGCAGGAAATTGGAAGGCGGCGTCGGCGGGAGCCGTCTGCACGCATGCAGCAAGAACAGGACCAGCTGTGTTCTACACATCGTGACATTGGTAGTCTGCTGCTCAGAGCTGGTGCATCCCGCTGGCCGCGCCTGTGGGCAGCCTCGAACATGACTGACTGCGTGTCAAACTGACATGTCGGTCAACGTCGTGCGTCACCGCCGTACTTCGGAGCGTGAGGAAGGATTCTTTAGCGTTTGAATCTTTTTCCACCGTTCCGTTTAGCTGCATGGTTTTAACAGATAATTAGAGGATTCTAGCACAGGAGCTCTGTCCCCGACGATCATCGATCAACGGGCGAGAGAGACGCTTATGCCAAAATGCTGAGTGACAATGCTGGTCCATGCAGCTTTCGGCTAGATGCCAGGCAACGGCAGACCCAGTCAATGTGCAACTGCCTCAGGCTAGAGGGACTGCATGCCAGTGTGGAGAGCTTGAGGCGGAGCTGCAGCCTCCTGCAGTAGGACGCCTGTAATGTCTCCGCTTTGCAAGCAGTCTCAGAGTACGGACAGAGCACAGACTTCTCACCCGCACCTCCCCGCCAGTTTTTGGTTCAAGCTGACCCACGTTCCAGATCGGCAATGTCTGCCTGCTCGCAGCTCTTGTTGCCGCTGCGCCTGCGGCGGCAGCCCTTCGGCAACCAGAAAAAGACGAGGAACAGGCTCATCACCCTGTTGGTTATGGCGATCGTTGTGGCGTTTTGCCTTTGGCCTCGCTGCAGCTGCCACCTGCGTGCATCGGAGGATTTCGAGGAAGGCGATTTGCTGCATCTGACTCCGCATAAAGTCGAGCTGCGGAAAGTGCAAGACTCGCACGGCTTGTGCTGCGACTCCTGCTCACCCCTCAGGGAGATCTCGCCCGTCAGTTCGGCTGGCAGCCGCAGGATTGCGCACGAGCCTGTGAAGACGGTGCAAGAGCTTCCTTGCACTGAGAGAGCTCAGGCGCACGTCTCCATATGCCTCGGGTTCCTTGCCTTATCCTTCACGGTCGGCCTTAGCATGTGCGTCAGCCTTTGTACTGATGGGCAGAAGCTGAGACTGCTAGAAAAGAAGATCGATGCAGAGGAAGCAGAAACTTATCGGTTGGTGGTGTCTGGTCTTGCGATGGAGTTCCTCAAGCGACGGCGGTGGGGACCAGGGGGGCTCTACAGGCGTGCTGTGGCAAGCCGGGTACTCTGACAGTGGGTATCCCACGGAATGCATGCACGCAGCAAAATGTATCTAAGGGATTCTAAAGGGACGGTTTGTAGGATTTGACATGCCTGGTAAATCCACCAGCTGCCGCAAGGGACCTAACCGTACTAAACCTTTGCCGGTGTTGTTAGCCACCTGGCAGCCAGAAGTGCTGAAATCCGACAGACAACCCCCCTGGCTGCGGTCCTTGCGTTCAGCTAGCCTAGAGTAGAGTCTTAAGCTCTATAGACTACTCATGCGAGCTGGGAATGTGAACTGTGAGGAGCTCCTGCTTCTTCTGCTGCCCTGTCATCGACCTGGCCTGCTCCTTCCTGGCATGCATGCTCATGCTGATGACCCGCTGTGAGCCCTTCTGCTTTGAATGGCGTTTCGCGTGTCGCATTTGTGTGACCTTTCTGGTGGTTTGCATGCTCTCGCTTGCCCTTCGCTGCTTGAGCTGGCTGTACTGCGTGCTGAAGTTTGCCTTGGCCACGTCCAAGCAGACCTTTGAGATAAAGTTCGCGGCATTTCAGGAGGGTGCGGTGACGCATTTGTGCGTGGCTCTTGAGGGGGACCTCCTGTGGCTTGAGAACATTGGGAACCTGCCACGAGGCTGGCCTCCGAGGGGCTGGATGCAACCAAGGTATTTAGTCCACTCTCAACTGGAGGCACACCATATCGAAGATAAGGATGACCAGCCTATTGTGGCATGGAGCCTCCAAATGTACTGGTGCTGGTTTGTGCAAGGCGAGGCGCGTGTGGGGGCATGGGTGCCACAATCAATGCAGTTTCCAATAGATCCAGCCCATGTCCACGACCTCCACACGTGGCTCGCAGCAGAGCCACATCGTCGAATGTTTCGCTACGAAGGTGTGGCCGTGACAGCCTCTGAAGTGCTCGGATGGGGCTTCGAGCACATCCATGATCGTCTGTCAGAGCAACTCTCCTCGAGGTCGGGTGCTTTCGATCGAAAGCAGATATTTGCCTTGCAATGCGAAAGACACGGATCCACGATGGAGATCTGCTTGTCGATGATGTCCGGCAAGACACTGACACTCCGTGCTTCCATCGGAGACCTGGTCGCAGATTTGTGCCACCGTGCCGCCTTATTGGGAACCGACGGCTCTAAGGTCGAGGTAGTCTTGCCAGATGCAAGACGCTTGCGCAGCCTTGATCCCAAACTCCCTTTGTGTGAGGCGTTAGGTGACTTTTGTGTGACCGGAGACTGCAACGGCTAGCGAGGAGAATTCGGTTGGATAGGGAGTTCTCAGCTGCGGCGTGCATGCAGCGAAGCTGCGAGTAGGCTGCAAACTGGCCCGTGCGGAAAGCTTTCTTACCTTCCTGGAGCGAGGTTGAACTGTATCACAGTAGATTCACGTAGCATTGTCTAGAGCCTTTCGACGCCTATCGGGCACTCGTTCGCAGCTGACGACCCGGAAGAAGGTTGATCCGCTAATTAGAGTCATTAGAGAGTCGAGACTTGCAGCCTGGAAGGCCACCCAGAAGGGCAGCGGAAGTATGGCAGGTCTGTTCTGTTGGGTTTCGGAGTGATTTCACAGTTGGGGGGGCTTTCTTCGCGTTGTATGGGAACTGTAGGGTTGATGTTGATAGTGGGTGGCTGGTGGAAGATGACTTGCTCGTCAAGCTCGTCTCGGGGTGCATGTCACCTTTTCATTTTGAAGCCGATCAGACATTAGGTGGATTTCTCGTCAGGTCATCTTGGGTAATGGTCGGGTGCAGATGTCGCGGAGGAGAGTTTTGTGCTTCCACATGCATTCAGACACCAATTCAAGCGAATCTGTACAGGTGCCCGATTTTGCTTTAGATGTGTGCCAGAGAATCCCATTGATCAACGGATCGTCGCTCAACACTGCAATGTTGGAGTCTTGCTTCACTCATCGCACAAATTTAGTCCATGATGCAAGCTGTCTGCCAGCCGCCAGACTGAAGGACGAATAGGAAGCTTCAGCAAGACTCGCAGAAAAGGAGCCAGCAGCTAGGATTGCGAAAGATGAGTTGTAGCTGCATTAGCTGCTGGTGTAGGTAAGGCTCCGTCTGGCCTGGTGTCCACTCATTGCACCCTTCAATAGGCTTAAGATTGTTGTACCTGGCACGCCCATGCATGAATAAGATATATCTGAAAAGCCGGATAGAGCCGAGACTTCTTTCACATTTTGTCTGCCGAAGACCTGTGGCCAGGGTCATCTGCAGGCAGCCGTACAAAGCAGATTGTCCCTGGATGGATGTGGCCCTGTCAAGACTGACTTATGTCAACTGATGTGATTGCCTGAAGACGCGCATTGTGAAACCCTCAAGTTGCCACGGCTCGTCCGTCCAAAGGTCGAGACTGCCTCGTCCGATAATTTGCCAAATCGGCAGGATGCAGCTTTTGGCATCGTTTGTGGGTTTCTGAGAGTTTGTCCTGCAGAGCTGCCTTCGAGACTCTACCATGAGCTTGACGGGAGCGGCATATATAGCAGCAAGTTCAACAGATCCTGCGGAGACATAGAAACAAAGCTTGCTACCAGTTCCTAGTGGTGGAATCTGTGGAAAGGACGCACATGTTCCGGGATAAATGATCTTGGTCGCCATGCTGAGACGTCCGAGTATGCCCGACCAGCCAGATGCTTGGATTGGTGTGTACATTAGAAGCTTGGTGAAAGACCCTGTGCACTTCAGCCCCCCCGAGACCCCATTCGCCTGTAGTTTTGCCGTCGAACACACGCTGGCGAGCAGCAGAATTTTCTCATTCCAGTATGTCCTTCATGTCTGTTATCCGCCGTGCATGCTGTTGAAACAGAGGGCCAGTCGCTCGAGAGCATCCAAAGACTCTATACCTGAAGGTCCGAAAGGAAACCCTCACCCTTATGTCAACCCTAAACCCTAGACCCTAAACCCTAAACCGTGAATCAGTGAACCCTAAACCCTAAACCCTTGACCCCAAACCCGAAACCGTGAACCCTCAACCCTGAACACTAGACCGAAACAGCCCGAAAGGCCCGTCAGCGTCATCGATGTGGCTGCGCACGCCGGCGGTCCGGGCCTTAAGCAGATTTCTTTCAAGTTAAGTAGTTCTGTTTTGTTGAGGCTCCCTTTATTTGAGGAGTCTTTGCAAAGATGTAGTATGGCGATATTTCAGGGTTTGAGAGACCCGTACCTTTCCGACTGCTTTTGGGGGAGGCAAGTCGTCCCAAGCTTTGCAGAACAGGGCGAGACGGGGAGATTCTTTCCCCTATTTTCGGAAACTCCCATATAGTAGAATGTAGGGTTTCTATATTAGGAATTACTATTATTTCCAAGAGTCCACGACTTTGAGAGTCGAAACATCGACCCTCAGCGGCATCCTCCCCAACGCGCGCCGCAGGTTCGAGCCATGCGAAGGCTCGGCCCTTAGAGGGCTGAATTCCAAGGGGCGAGGTGTGGGTTTTGGGGAGTTCGGAGTGCTGGATGGCTGGTACTAGCTAGAGCACAGCACCGACGAGCCATGCTAAGCTGATGTAGACGTCTTTTCGCACATGGATCCACATGCTGCCGAGAATCCAGGAGCATCTCTTCAGCTTCGTGTCAGAACAAAAGCACGGCGGCAAGGGTACTTGAAGGCTCATGGGACTTAGTAAGTAAGGTTATAAGTAGGTTATAATTAGGATAACCCCACTTAGGGGACTTATAACCCCCATTATAACCTACTTACTAAGTCCCATGATCCTCTAAGTGGGACCTGAAGAGCTGCACACAAAAGCTTGGCCTTTCAGAGGTCACAGCTAGCGAGCACGACGTGCAGAAGGTGGCATGCGTGAGCTGTCTTTCTTTAGCGTTTTTTTTTGGGCTTTGTGGGGTCAGCACCAGCTCTACTTCCGAGAGGAGCACGCGTCGACTTGAACAGCTATCCGCAAAGTTTGTACTTCGCAAAGTGTCATAGGCTGGTGTGGCACTTGGCGATCATGGCTCTTGGTTTATGCATATGCCAAGGCAAGTACTCGAGAGATTTGACGGCTCACGGCCTACTTAGCAAGCCTTGCGACCGACTTCCTGTCGTTCTGATGTCCATTGCTCGAGTCCCTCAGCTGAGGAAGTGCAGCCAAAGCCCGGCAGCAAAGAGACGAGCGAAGCGAAGCCAAAGCCCAAGGTGAAGGTCCAGGTGAAGGCAGCGGTCAAGGCCGCTTCTTCGGAGCCCGACTGGAAGAAGGTCTTTCCAGCAGAGGACTCCATTCGACTGCGCAACCTGCTGCAGGCGGAGGTCACCACGGCATCTGGCAGCCGTATTTCAGCCAGGAGGATAGAAGAGCTGTTGCGTGAGAGGCATTCGGCGCTGCTGGACATGGCCAAGCGATACGTAGATTCTGTGTTCAGGAGCCGTAGTAAGAAGCAAGCGAAGCTGGATCGGCAGCAGGGCCTGACAGGCCGCACGCACTGATTGGGCCACTTCGCAGCGCTTGAAAAGCTGACAACCGAAATCCACTTCGACTTCCAAGCTAACGCGTTCTGCTGCGGGCACGGCGACGAGGGCGCCGACGACGGATTCAAGGGCGAGGAGGACGACCAGGAGGGCGACGACGAGGGCGCCGAGTTCGACGGCGACGAAGAGGGCGATGAGGGCGAAGGGGCTGAGCCGGAGGGCAGCGGAGCTGAGGAGGTCGAGGAGGTCGAGGAGACGGAGATGCCGAGGCCCGAAGCTTTCGCTTGGACTCCCGAACCTCCGCCTCTCTCCGAGCCTGGACAGACGGAGGATGTTGATCGGGACGGTGATGCCACGAGAGGTTCAGAAGTCCCAGAGACGCAGAAGGATCCTGAGCCCGAGGCGATTGAGCCTGCACCGGAGCGTGCAGTGCACCGCTTCTACGGGTTTGAGGCCGGAAGCATTTTCTTCATTCCTCCCTGTGAGCTCTACTTCACCCAGGACTCCATCAAGTCTGGCTTCAAAGACAGCGGTAGTTTTGGCCACAGCTCCGGCTACAGCTCCAGTGACTCACCGGGACCAAAGGCCAGGGACTCCGTGAAGACAAGCTCGGTGCGTGAGATGTTTGATGCCATTCTACAACGACGAATGCTGAAGCGGGAGGTTGAAATGATGGACGTCGTCTTCCACGAAGGCTACTACTACAGCATCTGCAACCGGCGGCTGGCCGTCTATTTGCTGCTCTGGCTTTGCGGCCGGTGCCCGCGCTTGAAGGTACAGCTTGTGAGCAAAACCGACCGGAAGGTGCACTGGGATCGCCGATTCACCACTGAGTGCGATGGAGACTGGATTCTCGTTCGCCAGACGGGGGAGGCGATCGGCCGGCGATTTCAGGACACCACCTTCGAGCATCCGGAATTAGCCAGGGCGTTAAGCAGAGCTGGAGGGGAGGCCACGAAGTGAAGGGCGCCTGCACTACTGGATTTGACTCGCTTTCAAAGCAGCCAGCAGCTTACAGCCGGCTTAATTTGAAAAGCGCCTCCTGCATTGTCCTAAGTGGAACCGAGGGTTGACCAGGCTTGTCGTGTCTTTCGCGACGAATGTGCGAGGCCATCCCAAACGAAGCAGACATTCTCGAGTGTATGATTTTCCTTTGTCGTACGCGAGGCCTTGAGGCTTTTTTCAAAGGGCTTTCGTCAGGGATGGCATTCACGTGGTTCGCTGTTGCTGTTGCGTGTGTGTGTGTGTGTGTGTGTGTGTGTGTGTGTGACAACCCTGTATCCAAGGGCCTTCTCCTCACGCTCTGCAGCTGTTTACCGATTGCGATTTTACATGTAGCCGGACTTGAGTATCGAGTACACAGCAGGGGGGCAGCGAGCATTTCTGGATTGCGCTGCCTAACAAAGACCGTCCAGATTTGCTGTGAATATGAAGAAGGGACGCCTTCTTCACGTACCTGCACAATTGCTTGTGACATCCTGGTCTTCGCTGTATATGGTTCGTCATCGTATTGGTGCATATTCCTTGTCTGGATGGCCTGGGGCTAAGCCGAGGACCCCGCACAGAACCTTGTCAGTGTGAGTGAAGCCATTCTTCAGTGCGAGCGTTTGCAATCGTTGGTCCTGGTCTTGTCCTTCGGCGCGTTGGGGTTCAGGCTGGCGTTGTGGTTTAGCCAGGCAGGTTGAGGTGTCAGCTACAGACTTTCTGCACTTCCTCTTTGCAGCTGTTGTCCATGAAGCTACCTGTCCAAAGTCTCTGATGTGTGGTCGCTTGAGACCTGGACATCAGGTGGTTCTTCGCATACAGAAACCTCCCTTAGCATTCAGTGTGTAGTCCTCCGGGACGGTGGTGTATGCCTCGGTGCTGCACTCAGATCCTCCAAGTTCGGAGGCGCCAAATTCAGTGTCAGCGCTTAGATCAGTTCAATGAAGAGAGCAGTGAAGCCACATGGCCTTACAGCCTCTTATGGCACCCACAAAGTCGGCTTCATGCCTACCAAAACGCGATTGCAGCCAAAGCAGCTTCAAGCACTCATACCCAAGGACTCAGGCAGGGACAGTTTTGACCGTAACGTTCTAACGGGTTTTCATGTAATCGATGCTGTTGTAGGCTGTGCTTTGCTTTTCTGTCTTCGCCATGCTTCCTCGTCCCCGTCCGTCCTGTGCACCTGGACTCCGGACGACAGCACCCTCTCGCTCACGGTCTCGGTCACGCCCCAGATCTTCGTCCTCATCATCTTCTTCTTCCTCTTCTTCGTCGACACCGGCGGCACCTATGAGTCGAACTGCGGCACCTCGACGTTCTACCTTGTCCGGCCGAGTCGCCGACCCTTTGCAGCCTCCAAGGCCCGTCAACATGGTAGCTCCAAGCACCCTTCCTGATCTTTCTCCGCTACCAGCAAGCACGTTTTGGCCTGGTCTGCTTGCCACCGTCTCAGTCCCGCATTCCTCCAGCAACGACCGCTCGGTGAATGCCGCGGCCCGTGCTTCCACTCCTCCGGCGCCGGATCCTTCCACCACCCCTGCAGCATCCTTGACGTCTCCGCCTACAACCTCTTCGACTTCAGGAGCTCCTTTCAGCTCCGCGTGCACTTTGGCAACTTTGCGACAGTGTCTGGCCACGGCAGGGCAGCTTGACACTTATTTGCAATCCGATTATTCCACACGGCTGGGCTCCCTCAAGGCGGTGCACTGGGATCGAGTGTACACTGCACTGCTGCAACACAGGTCCTACCTCAAAGCGCTACCTCATCGCCGACAGTGCCAACGGGAGTTACTTCTGGAAGGACGCCAGCTTGAGGTACCGTTTACATTAACAGATCCAATACTGACAGTGATGCATCTGTTAGTGCATGCCGGATACCATCCTCACAGCATCCAGTTCAAGTTCACGCACGTCGAGGCCCCTCAACATCGCCCAGACCAAGCAGGCAGACCGATGCTGATGGTTTCACTCCCGTTTCCGGCCGCAGCACAACGCATCAGTGGTGCACCAGCTGTTGCGTACTTTGGCCACAACGCTGATCTTCAAGCGGCATTCGGCATCCTTAAAGAAGGCTGCATCCGACCCAGCAATTTCGAACCCCTTGACGATTCTTGGTTGCCGAGTCCTGCTTTCTACTCGCGCGCTTCGGTCAACAGCCTTAGCGGAGCCTTACGTGCCGCAGCCAAGTTTGGCGGCTGAGGCTCTCCCCGTCCGTTTTGTGTATACGGACGAGTACCTATTTGCTATCTCGACATAGCCAATGCCGCGCCTGCCGATTCGCCTTCTTCAGTGCTCCCTAACACTCCCGCTGGCTACCACCTGAAGAGCGACAGCGGGGGCACCATCCCCGAGAACGCGGCGAACTACTTCGTCTCCATCCTGCACGGCAATGACAACCGTTGGGGTGTGCATTCTACGCTCGCACAACCCGAAGGCATCGCCGTGTTTATGTGAGAGGAACCACAAAACGTGAGCGTGACTTGAGATGCATTCTTGCTGGTCTCCTTGTTGTTGCAGCTATATTCCGCAGCCGTTTTGCTGGAACCATCACAGCACATCATGGCCTCCACCGCCTTCAGTTCCGAGTATTTGCAGCTGTTCTTGGTGTTTTTCGAGTCGCTCTCTGACAGCCAACTTCTACAAGTACGTGATGTACTGCTACGAGCTCATCAGAACCGACCGAATATCAGACCCACCGACACTGCTCCTCCTCCTTCGGACCACGCGGCCCCGCTTCCGCCGCCCCCTACTTTGACTCCGGTGACCACTACATCTTCTCCTCCGCCTCCGGATGGTCCTCCGCCTGCTACAGTACCGATTACATCCATTGACATAGGCACCCATTCTGGTCAAGCTGCTTATGACTCTCCTGGACCTAATACACTTCCTGACGGCAGTGTGGCCCCTCCGGCCCCTATGGGCCCACCACCGGTTCCTCCTTATGCTGATCCCTCTCAGCGCCATACCCTGCCTCGACTTCGGGGACGAGATCGTGACCGCCCTCGAGCTGAAGAACGCCCTCGAGCCGAAGATCGTGATCGTGATCGTCACCGCCGTCGACGTCGTTCTGTATCCCCACTTCCTTCTGATCCTTTGCCTATGGGACCTTCTCCCTCGACTCCGTTGCCTCCGGGACGTTTGGATTCCATTTCGACCAGCAACACACTTCCACCTCCGGCTGTATCCAAGCACACCGGCCGACCTCTCGCGCCGAAGGTGGATACCGATGGCAGTCTGATTTATGTACAGGTCAAGGCGCGGCCGCAACTTCCTCCTCCACGTACCGCAGTGGCGGCAGCCGGCAGATCCCGCAGTCGGCGTCGTCGCCGCGACCGCGCTGACCGAGATCGTGATGATCGCGATCGTTCCCGAGGAGCACGTGAAGCCTCACATCGTGAGCGTGACCGTGACCGACATCGACGTGATCCGAGGTCCACGGACGCCACCAGCGGAGAGCAGCAGCGCCCACCTCTGACCTTGTATTCAGTCGCCCGGAACTGAGCAAAACATGTGCCACCGCCGCCTCTGCTCCTCCCGACCTTGGATGTTCCGCGGCCATTTTCTATATTGTACCAGTCCTGCCCTTCCCGGCGCCATACATGTTACTCCAACGCTCCGCTTCTCCTTCGCCCTCCACTTCTTCCTGTTCGACCCTTTCGTCATCCACTTCGGCGACTGTCTTCGATTATTTGGACGTACTGACCGACCCCTTCGTTCTCTTCCGTGTGTTATTGCCACTCCTGGAGCTTCGTTTACGTACCGCTCTAGTCCCTCCGGACTCGGTGATGGACACGGCTTCTGCCCATGCACCCGCTCCTGATTCCACTTTGCGGTGCCTCTTTCCCATTGCTGAACAACATGGTCAAGCTCTGGCTTTCCGTACGGAACGCGACTATCACCTTCACTATGCCCTCGCCGAGATCACATTCCATCCTGGTGTCGTGGCATCCTTGATGATGACATGCTCGCGAACATATTACGCAGTACGAGCCCTTCTTCGTGATCGTGGACTTCAATATGCTTTCTACGTGGAACGCACACCCGATCTTCCACGTTCACATTCTTCTCGACCGTGCCTCTCCATCTTCCACCCGTTTTGTCCACAACAAGTCCGCGGCATGGCACTGCACCGTGGAATTCAGCATTGGATCTTCGTTCCTTCCAGCTACAAGGAGTTGGGTCTGATCCGACTCGGGCGATTTTCATGATGCGCGCTCAGGACCTGGACAAAGAAGCCATTCTTGCTGATGTTGCGGTTGTCTGGCGAGCTTACTTCCCGCAGCTGTTTTATATATTTGGCTCCTTTCGCCTGCCTCCTTGCACCTCCTCCTCTTCCTCATGGGCCCACACCGCTCTCGCACTCCGCCTTCCCGACGATATCGTCTACCTGGACGTGACGAACCTTCTCGAGGTGATCCCTATTCTTCCCAGCGGAATGCGACGACGTCGGGGTCTTTCCGGGACAATCGTGCACACAGCCGGACGTCCCCTCCTCGGTCCCGACGACACCGAAGCCGAACCCCGGTGTCGCACACGCCGGAGCATCACCGCCGCCACCGCCGTGACACCTCGACCAGGCAACATCGACACCGAGATCCCGGAAATGACTCTTCTCCACGACGTCGCCTGCAATATTCCTCACCACGCCCATCGGCTCGACGACATCGTCCTCCTCCAGATTCTGACCGCCGGGTGCCACACTCTGACAGCCATGTACACTCCGCTCATCCACTTCATGATGATCCCTCCCACTATTCTTCTTCTGGTGCACCTCCTGCTCGACGTGAACCTCGCCGTGATCGCCGAGACAATCCTTCCGCTCGAGATCACCGATTGCTCCAGGAACGATATGAAGACATCCACCCACTCGGGGCCAATTGGGAGACCAACGATATGTTCCTCGACACAAACCCGGATCGCGGATTCCCCTTGCCACGAAACGTCGTGGACACTGCGTTTACCAGGCGTCTCGGCATTGC